AATACATTTTGGAGATCTTTTGAAATGACAATAACAAAGCTACTTCATTCTTTTGAAAGGTTGCATGGTGTGTCCTTTAGTATAGATGTACCATTATGTACCATAATTTATTAACCTACGTAGTTTTAAATATTTTGTTCTTATAAAGAAGGCTCTGCAAAAGAATATCCGTGTACAGTTGTGGCTATTTCTCTCGGGTAGAATCTTAGATGAAATTATTGGATCAAAAGCGTATTAAAAATGTTTTACAGCTAAAACATGTATTTTAGTAGTTTTATAATAATCTACCTTTATTTACTTTACCATTTCCTTACCTTGGTACATTTAGTTGTTTGTAAAATTTTTTTGTCAGTATAAATGGCCCTGGGATAAATATCTCTGTGAATAGGTTAAGTTTTTAGAAGATAGTCTGAGAGAAAGTTGTCAACTAATAAGTATGCTTCTAGGATTTTGCTTTCCCAAAGCTATTTTAAGAACTATATTTAGTGGTAATATGTTATTTTTAAAAATGTAGAGCTTTAATAACATCATGGCCCAGGGTTTTTAATATAGTCAACTTTAGGAACTTAAATTTATGTTTCATTTTAGGTCTTGTCAGCTGTAATGAAGATGATTGTGAAACAGAAGATTGAATAAAGCCTATAACTTTGAACTGGATTAGAGATTTAGAAAAGAAAGCTAAAATTAGTCGCTTTGGTTTTAGTGTTCCAATTTTATAATATTTATTCTTTCTTCTAAGTAGTTGTAGGGAGTGGACATTAAAATACACTAATATTTGTCCTGGCATATTTTTTTCTTTTTGTATGAGAGAAGAAAGTTGAGAGAAGAAAGTAAAAGCTGCAGTGATTCGTAATGAAATATACTAAACGCAATTTTATGATGTCAGTTCTTGGCATTATAATCTATATAACTGACTTAATTGTGGACATATGGGTATCTGTCAAGTTTTTCCATGAAGGACAATATGTCTTTGGCATATTAGCCTTAAGCTTTATGCTTTTTGGAACACTTGTGGTCCAGTGTTTTAGTTATTCTTGGTTCAGGGCTGATTTAAAGAAAGCAGGCCAAGAAAGTCAGCATTGTTTTCTTCTACTTCATTGCTTGCAAGGAGGAATTTTTACAAGGTAAGCATACATGTTTCATCATTAGCACTGTCTTGTATCCAAATAGAAACTGCTTTTTTATATCTTTGTAGTCAGATGTACAAAGGTCCCCTGCTTGCATGTAGCCCAAAGGTTACTTGCTCCTCAACAGTGGTGCTTGGATGAGTCATTGCTGGGTTGTCAGAACTTTAGAGGATCATTAATAGAGTATTTTAATTTACCTCATTAGGTTACTTTTTTCTCATATGTACTCAGTTTTTACAGAAAGGAAAAAGACTTATTTCTATGTCTCGTGGAATGTTTATCTTCTGTGTATATGCTAAGCCTGATTGTGCATATATAGCTTACCACTTGCAGCTCTGAGAGAGCTCTTAATTTTTGAAGTTACTTATACCACTGGTATAACTAAAGGTGATTTTTACTGCAATAATGCAATAGCCACGTGGTTAGCTAGATACAGAGTCATAGAATTGAAAACAACCTTAATCATTTTGTTTAAAACCTTATTTTATATGTACAGAAACTGGAATCTAAATAGGTCGTGAGAATTCTGATTCTTTTTTTTTGAGACAGAGCCTCAAGCTGTTGCCCTGGGTAGAGTGCTGTGGCATCATAGCTCACAGCAGCCTCCAACTCTTGGCTCAACTGATTATCCTGCCTCTGCCTCCCAAGTAGCGGGGACTACAGGCTCCTGCCACAATGCCCAGCTATTTTTTGGTTGCAGCCGTCATTGCTGTTTGGCGGGCCCGGGCTGGATTTGAACCCACCACCTTAGGTGTATGTGGCTGGTGCCTTAGCTACTTGAGCCACAGGTGCCGAGCCTGATTCTTTATATATTTAATTTCATATGACCTCTTGATTATTACCCTAATGAATTTCATTCTATGAAAAGGAATATATAGTTTAACAGTACAGGAAAAAAAAAGTGAAAGGCTACTGTTAAAAGAGGATAATAAACTATTTTTTACAATTAGTTTCTTTTTTTTGAGACAGAGTTTCATTATGTCACCCTTGGTAGAGTACTGTGGCGTCACAGTTCACAGCAACCTCAAACTCTTGGGCTCAAGTGATTCTCTTACCTCAGCCTCCCAAGTAGCTGGGACTATAGGCACTTGCCACAATGACTATTTCTTGTTGCAGTTGTCATTGTTGGTTAGCTGTTTCCAGCCAGGTTCAAACCTGCCAATTTTGGTGTATGTGGCTGTTGCCACAACCACTGTGCTATGGGCGCCGAGCTACAATTAGATTTTGAACGCAGGATTTTAACAGCTTACATAGAGGTTAATTCCTTCCTTCCCTTCCTCCCTTCCTTCGTTCCTTTTACTTTTTCTTTCTCTTCCTTCTTTCTTTCTTTTGACTCACTCTATTGCCTAAGTTAGAGTGCCATGGACTTAGCCTAGCTCACAGCAACCTCAAGCTCCTGGGCTTAAATGGTCTTCCTGCCTCACTCCCAAGTAGCTGGGAATACAGGTGTGCTTCATGATGCCTGGCTAGTTTTTCTATTTTTACTGGAGATGGGGGTTTCTTGATTTTTTCAGGCTAGTCTTGAAGTCTTGACCTCAAGCAGTCCTCCTGCTTTGGCATCTCAGAGTGCAAGGGTTTTAAGTATGAGCCACCATGTCTGGCCATAGAGGTTAATTTCTGGTTCTATCCAGTTGAAAAGTAACAAATTGGCTTGGCATCCATAGCACAGTGGTTATGGTGCCAGCCACATACACCGAAGCTGGTGGGTTTGAACCTCACCCGGGGCCAGCTAAACAACAATGACAACTGCAGCAAAAAATAGTCAAGTGTTGTGGCGGGCACCTGTAGTACCAGCTACTTGGGAGGCTAGAGAATCACTTAAGCCCAAGAGTTTGAGGTTGCTGTGAGCTATGATGTCACTGCATTTTACTGAAGGTGACATAGACTGTCTCAAAAAAAAAAAAAGCAACAAATTTATGGCCCTTAGCTGAAAATATTAAGAAAAATTTTAGCTTTTCATATATTAATAAATAATAATGCCATTATATTTGTGTGGAGATTTATAGTTTTCAAAGTATTTTCATATATTTTGTCTTTTTAAAGCTTGAGTTATTAAGGGTTTAATATGTAAGAAAAACAGAATATGTAATGAGAAAAAGTTTACAGGTTTTAGAAAAGCTTACTTTAGTTGTTGGTATTGGAAGTCAGTTTTGGAATAGTACATTTTATTTCTAAATTAGATGAAAACGTTTAAAGAAGTGGAGTAAACGTTAATGTTGGTAAGTTAAGTGTGTATGTAATATATAAGATTTAATGAGTATTCTATTTGAGCAACAATGAAAATTATGCAATTGTAATATCTGAAGGAGGGTAAAAATTAGTTTTGCACTGAGCTTAGAACTTTGTTAAATTCTCTGTTATTTGTCATTCTATTAATGGAAAATTTTCATATCTACAAAACTATTTTCATTGGTGTTGCAAATGATGACTTCAAGGTACTCTAAGACATTGTGTCATAAAAGGCAGAATTTTCTTGATTTTTCTGTCTGTTAATATACCTAGTAATTTTTTCACTGAATAACACACTGTGTGTAAAAGATGATAGAGTCTTCAAATGATGCTATTTTTCTTTTTCTCTGGAAGGCATTTAGAATAAGGTTAAGTGTACTTTTGTTTGCCTCTGTAACCTTTTGTTCTTCTGTACAACCTCCAGGGTTCTGAGAGCCTTGTGTGGTCATTCTAACACCCACAGGTTCCCAATACTAATCATTACCTCCTTGGTACTGCAAGACTGCCAAAAACACTGCTTTGCCTTTCCAAGACTTTCTGCTTAGCTTTTAGCCTCTATAGTTATAGTTATAGTTATAGTTTTGAAATCTGGCAAGTATCTTGTAGGAAAAACTGGCTGAGTTTGTGGTCCCTGAGCCTACAGTCCTATCATCAGACCTCTAAAACTTATGTTAGTTTCTCTGTTTCCTAACAACAGCCTGGGAAATACTCAGATTTTCAATCTTTTGTCCTCAGAAAGAGAATCAGCAAATATTCCCAGGAAAGAAACATCTGTAGAACATCAGCTTAGTTTCTAGTCTATCTAGTTGTTTTGACAGGAGCATAGGTCTGTTCCAATATTCTGAGCCTTACCTAGAAATGTAATCAATAATGTGACACTCTTAAATTATCTCTCAAGTATAAGGCATATTATTAACATCAATAATGTAAAGACCTTGAAACATTGAATTTCATTTAACCATGTTTCCAACTTATACATTAATTTTGCTGGCATTTTAATTCTTGTGTTTAATCTCACTAGATAATATAATTCTTTTTTTTTTTTTGAGACAGAGTCTTGGCTC